GGTGACTTGAATTCAGGGGTCTTTGTTGTATATGTGGGTGAAAAACCGAGTATTTGAACTCTACAATCACACTGAGCGCCATGAAATGCTCATGTTAAGAGGAATGAAGATAATAACTAAGGCCATTTGAGGCAACAGCAGATTCATCTCTCACCTGTTCTCTGATAAACACTTAACGAGTGGAATGTTGACGCTTAAAATTATTTTCTCCTTTAGGGTAAAAGAATTTGTATAACGTGAAGTGTGTGTGATTGTGATTCATCTATATTTTTAATAAAAGAACCCTTTCCCTCTAAATTTTCATTGCACATTTGTGTTCTTTTTTTAGATTTGTGATTCTTGATTAATGGATGATCAAAATCAAAGATGAAACAATTTTGCATTAGAATCCTTATTATTGACTTTATTTTCAGAGCATTGAATCATTGCTAATTAAAATAAACTTACAATATGTCCTATCATTTCTACATGCTACCAGGGCCTATTCTTTTTAGTTTTTAGGGATCCCAGGAGAAAATGAATCTGCTAACCTACTGGGACCCTTAAATTAAGGATAATTCCGGTGAAATCATATCACAGAATACCTCTGAATTCAAACTTGAGGGCTTTGATCTGAACTGTTACGGTCATCTCTGCCTTTTTTTTTTTTTTTTTTTAAAGATTTTTTTTGGGGAACTGGGGGGATGGGAACAGTGCTGGGGAATTGGGGGAAGGGGAACAGACAAGTTGCTGTCATTTTTGTTCTTCAATCTAGTTGTGGAGGACGTTGCTTCACTGGCCCAAGTTGGCACCATCATTGCGCTCTTCTCTGGCAAGGCAGATCAGTCGCCGGCTTCTGGACGGCCGCTCACTGCGGCTGCTGGCCGCTCACGCTGGCTGCTGGCTACACACGGTAGCCCATGGCAATCCACTGCCACAGGGACTGCAGCCCACGCCGTCGCCGGTGACTCATGGCAGGCCAGCTCCAGGTTGAGCTGTTGTTCAGCATCTTAGCTGTAGAGGGCAGTGTCACTGGCCCTCATATGTGGGATCCGAACCGGGGCCCTCTGGTGTCCCAAGCAGGTTCGTAACCATCGCGCCACTGGGCCGGCCCCATCTCTGCCTTTTAATTGTAGTCAAGTAACTGTTTTAAAATTTGATATGTGGAATTTTCAACAAATTTGTTTGAATAACCAATATTAAACTGGGAACCCAAAGGTGAAGACTTATTTATATTCTTTGAAATACCTAAAACATTGGCCACCAAAGATGCTTATTTAATGTATGTTTTTAGAGTAGGTGTTAGGAAATACAGGGATGGTATCTTCTTGGAAAGTAAGAAAAATAAGTATTGTATGGCTTATTGTATGGCAGTACTGTGTGAGAAATATGTGAGAACCAAAGGTCATTATAAAATTTCCAGAGCTACATTAAATTAATTGAAACAGGTGAAAATAATTTAATTTCTTTGATACAACTGATTATATTATTATTTCAGCATCTTATCAATATACAAAATTGCTGAAATATTTTGCTTTTTTGGTACTAAATCTTCAAATTTGACATGTATTTTATAGTTAACATATCAAGTGCTGAGCACTTATGTGTCTAAGGCTGAAATGTTTTGGACAGTGCAAAACTAACTCATTAGGTTAATTCTACTAAAAGCACTCAGTTCAGATGCTAAACACTTGATCTATATTTAGATTTCACAAAATTTGCAGTTGCAGTCATATTCATATACCTAAGTTGTTGTGAACTTAAAAGTTTTTCAGTAGTTAAATTAGTAGGTATCGTGTTTTAAATTAAAAATTAAAATGGTTATTAAGAAAATACAAATAAAAACCACAATGAGATACCACTTCTTACTAGGATAGTTTTAATAAAATAAATGAAAAATAGTGTTGGCAAGGATATGGAGCTGATGGTTATACAACATTGTGACTACACTATGTATCACTGAATTGTACATTTTAGTTTTAACGTGGTATGATATGTGAATTTAACCTCAGTAAATAATAAAATTAAATAAAATTAAGAATTTGGTTTCTTAGTTATAGTAGCCTTGCTTAAAGTGGTATGTAACAATATTTGGCTAGTGGCTCCTGTAGTGGGCAGTGTTCTTTGGCAGTGTGGTAATCTACAGAAGATGGAAACTGTAAAAGCATTCTTTCTTGATACTCAGAATATGTGTAGGAAGTTTTTAAACTCTAAGAATTCAATAACCATTAAATGCTAAACTTTCTGTGGTCAGAACCTGTAGCTGAATATTCTGCATGCAGGCTTTCTGAGGGCCACACTTGATTGGCTCATAAATGAAATATTAATTTTAAAGTACTGGATATGGCTACTTGCTTCTTTTCAGGGTTCCCATAACACTCTATGCCTTATCCCGGACTATAGTCCTTGGAAGTTGTCACTGAATGTATGTCTGCTGATCACATATAAACACTTTTAGGGGAGAACTGTATCTTAGTCATCCTTACACTTCTAAAATGTTCGATGTTACTGCACGTAGAGAATAGATGAGTATTTGAACTAACATTTTGAATCATTTTTCTGCTTTTAAACTTAGTATGCACCCTAGAATGGGCAAAGATTTTTATTTGCAATGCTGAGTGCCAGTAGAGCCCATAAAATCATCTCTTGTATATCAGAATAAAAAAAAATAATTATTAATGGTACTATAGAAGGAGCTTGCTGTGAAGTGTTTCAGCCAGCATTGGTTTTATCACAATCTAAGCAGTTCAGTTCTGCTGATATATTTAGAAATATACCTATGATATAGAACAGGGGTCGGCAAACTTTTGAGACGGAAGAGCCTCCAGGGGTCAGCAAACTGCGGTTCTTGAGCGTGTGGCTCTGAAAAATTGAAAATGAAAATAAAACTCTCATAGTTTCATTTATAAAAATTTTAAAAGATATTATTCACATAATGGTAATTATGTAAAAATATATTTATGGCTCAAATAATTTTTTTTTAATTTTAAAATTTTATTTTTAAAAAAGATTTTATTGGGGTACTGGGGGAGGGAACAGTGTTGGGGAAGGGGAACAGACAATTGGCTGTCCTTTTGTTCTTCAGTCTAGTTGTAGAGGATGTTGCCTCGCTGGCCCGTGTTGGTATTGTGATCATTGCGCTCTTCCCTGCTGAGGCACATTGGTCGCCGGCCATTGGATGGCCACTCACAGTGGCTCACGGAAGCTCATGCCGGCTGCCAGCCGCTCACGCTGGCTTGCGGCAGCCCACTGCAGCCTACGCCATCGCCGAAGACTGACGGTGGCCCAGCTGCAGGTCGAGCTATTGTTCACGATCTTAGCTGTAGAGGGCGTAGCATCTGACTGGTCCATGTGGGATCCGAACTGGTGGCCCTGCTGCTCAGAGCTTGTGCTCCCAAGCCAACTCTTAACCAACGAGCCACTCGCCTGGCCCTTGAATAAATTTTAAATTGTTGTGAGGGACAGGATTAACTGTTCCAGGGGTTGGCAAACTCTTGAGATGGAACGTACCCAAAGAGCCGCATGTGGCTCGCAAGCCACAGTTTGCCGACCCCTGATACAGAAGATGCTTCTGGATGGAGGTGTGTGTGTGTGTGTGTGTGTGTATGTAGTATATGTATATTCCTGTCTTCACAGTGCATGGAAAGGATGAGTTGGGATAAGTAACTAGATAAGCAGTGTGAGTGTGAGGATCTCAGAGGAGGATGAGCTCCTTTTCACTTGGGCAGATTTTTAGAGAGACTGAACAAAATTACAATCTCTACTAATAGAGGGTTGTATTGTATTTTTAGAAGTTTGAAATGATAGAGGTGCCTGGATTGAAAGAAAGAGCCTGTAAATTTTTTTGTGGTATTATCTAGTTAATGTACTACTATATGTTGAACCACCTAGGAATAATGTGGTGGAAGTAGATGGTGTGTGTGTTTTTTTTTTCCTTTAATTTAATTGGGGAACAGCCATGGTCATTGGTTACATATTGCTTTCATATTACAATGGCATAGTTGACTTTTGTGGGGAAGGTGCAGCTCCCAGAGGCTCATGTGAGGATTGAACCAGTAATCTTGATGATGTCAGTACAACACTCTAAACCAACTGAGCTAACTGGTCACTCCAGTAGCTGGTGTTTTAAACATGACAAATTTGCATGGCTGGAGTTTGGTTGTTAACTCAGTAACTAAGTAAACTGGATAAAGTTACTAATAGAAAAGGCACCAGCAATCGAGCTATGGATTTTGCTGTTTGGAGATCATCTTAGAAGTGGTGTTTGTTTCAATGAACACTCATTTGTTATAAGACCTGCAAATATTCTTTCCTAAGATCTAGCTAGAAATCACACACTTGTATAATTTGTGTATTATAATTGTAGTGATATCCAAACATTCCGCTTTCTTTGTTGAAATAGCAGATCCACTAGCTTGACTAGGGTAATTCACCTTTTGTTTTCTCAGTCTTACAAGTACAGGCTAAAGGGGAAACATTTAATGAAATAGAGAGTTGCATAAGACCAACCCTGAGCCTAAGTCTTCTCTGAGAGACTAGATCTAATTGTTTAAGTCAGTATTATTGTATTTCTTTCCTATCTGTTAGAACAGTAGGGAGGCTACTGAAGGTTTCGAAATAGCATATATTATAATATAAAAGTAATTTTAAAAATCCAGGAATCCAAGTAAATGCCAGGATCTCTAATTCTTTGATGTAAAAACAACTTATTCTACCTCTTTAAAAAGTGACTAATTCAAAACCAGATTCTTCTGGGAAGAAGATCCCACTATTTTCGTCTTGCAGATAGTGGGAAGAGCAGTAAACTGGGGAGTCATGAAACTTGAGTTTTATTTTCCAGCTCTGCCACTCACTGCTTAATGTGTATTACTTTGGGCAACTTATAAAATGAAACGGTTCTTAGTTTCTGGAATTAGTTCTATAGTGCTACTGATTTACTTCTGAAAATATGAAATATCCCTCATTCGCATTCTGCTTGTTCCCTACACAGCATCCCTGACATCTTTTTTATTTTCATTTAGTGTGTTGTCGGTGGCTGCAATGCCAGCTTTGCTTCTCAGGGAGGGCTAGCTCGCCATGTCCCCACACACTTCAGTCAGCAGAACTCCTCAAAAGTTTCTAGCCAGCCAAAGGCCAAAGAAGAATCTCCTTCTAAAGCTGGAATAAACAAAAGGAGGAAATTAAAGAACAAAAGACGACGCTCATTACGTAAGTGGTTCACTGAGAATTGGTATCATAATGCATTTGTTTATATCTTGGGCTTTCATGCAAATTCAGTTTTTGCCTTTCTTCAACTCTGCTTATCTGTTTTTGTTAATAGTAGTAAACAGGATACCTGTGAGAGTTCAGTGGTATTTTATCTGTAGTAGCTAACGGAGTGTAAGTATATATGGTCTTAGAATACAGACTCTGTATAGAATTAGATTTTGAGGGCTACTTTGATTATGTTCTAAATTAAAATTTAAAGTATGGCAGTGTGGTGTTTCTAACAATATTTTAGAATTTTTAGTTTGTTTAAAGGTAAAAATCAAGTAAAAGTTAAGTAACCTATCTGTTCCAAAGTGGTGTGTGTGAATAGCAAAGCTATTTAGTCTGTTTCAGTGCTTAACTGCCTGTCTGTTGTAACACATATGTACAGTTGTTACATTCTTAATTACCAGATTAAGAGATGTATTCTCTGTATTTAGGATACACACAATTATATGACAAAGGCTTGTAAATGTTGGCTGCAGGAATTGACTTTGAAACCCCAGAGCCTAGCGCTGTGCCTGGTTTTTATGTCAGCTGGCTAATTAATATATCCTGAATAAAGACATAAGATTGAGTGAAGCTGTCCTTGAAAAGGGAGGCCACTGCAAGGGTCAACTAGAAACAAAAAAGTTTGTATCTTAACCCTTTCTCTTGGGATTTGATTAAAGTATAGAAGACTCTAAAACTAATTCAGATTATAAAGCTTCTCTCTAAAACATTGAAATTGTTTTGTTACTACATAGCTACAGTGGACATTAAACGAACCACAAGTAAGAAAAACTTTCCTAAACTCTCTTAAGTTTCTTTGTTGAAATAAACATTTGTATTTCAAAGTTTGCTACTGAATTTAGGTTATGGATCCATTTTCCTTTTGTTTATGTAGTCTTCAGTTAAAAAAACTGCTTGGACACCCAATTGTAGTGTGTGTATTTATACAGTGTATACAGGTAATACTGCTAATACACATACAACTACCAAGAAGGGATATTGAAAAATGTCAAGATGAAAGGAAGTGACATTTTTGTTCCTTACTCTAATGGATCATGAAACACACCTACTTTGGAGACTGTTGTTCAAGTTTAGTATTCTTGATACTTAATAGTGGACAGAACATGTATGAGGTCTGAATGCATAGAGTGAGGTTTGAGGACTCTCTTCATTATTGTGAATTTAATTTAGGCGATGACTTCTGTGTTTGAATCTTGAATGAGGAGTGATAGATATGAATGATTTAGAGGGCCGAGTTACTGTTATTTTCTCTTAAGTGCTTATCCTTCTCAGAAAAAAGCATACTTGGAGAGCATGGAGAAAGTACATACTTTTTTCCAGTAACAGATTAATAGGAAGGGGATTCATTTCTCAGCATTAGGTAAAATCATGCCTTCTTTCTCCTATAAATGTCAAATATTTGTTTCTTACTTATTTCCCATTATTATTGCATTCTTAGTCTTGGGGGTTCTGCTAGTTTGTTACTAAGTGGTGTTTTGCTTTTGTCCTTCTGAGGCAAAATTCAATGAGAAAAGAGGTCGCTAGGTTGTTTTATGGAGTATGCCAACTGGTGAAATCATCCTCCCACAAAAGCTGTGGTGGACTCGCATAAATGTTCCGAGAACTCCATGCATGGTAGACGGAAATCCACTTATAGTAGTAAATCAAAATATGAGGTAAATCAGCTACATATAATTCAGAATATGCTGCACTAGGAAACCAAGCCATTTCTTCTATTGTCAGTAAAATTTAATTTTAATTACAGATGAATTTGTAAAATTACATGTATTAGTAAGCTCCACAGTTGTAAACAATAACTTTATCTTTAGTTTGAGCAACTTTTTTATTAAGAATAAAAATAGCACAATTTATAATAGTGGGATGGAAATTGAAATTTTAAAAATGTTCTTAGCAAATTAAATTTTCAACATATAGCTTTGTGGAGATCACACTAAAAGATTGCTTACCCTAGGTTTGTGAGTCTTTTTAAAAAGTGGTATGAGCTTATGAATATAAACTGCTTTATGACTTAATGAGGCATTTTCTTTTTTAAAGATTTTATTGAGGAATTGGGGGAAGGGAACAGCGGTGGGGAATTGGGGAAGGAGAACAGACAAGTTGCTGTCCTTTTGTTCTTCAGTCTAGTTGTGGAGGACGTCGCTGCCCTGGCTCATGTTGGTATTATCATTGCACTCTTCCCCGGGTGAGGCAGATCAGTTGCGGGCCATTGGACGGCTGCTCATGGCAGCTCACAGCAACTCTCACTGGTGGGCTGCCAGCCAGCCCACTTGCAGCCTACACTGTCGCCGGCAACTCACAATAGCCCAGCTCCAGGTCGAGCTGTTGTTCACCATCTTAGCTGTAGAGGGTGTGGCGTCACTGGCCCTCATGTGGGATCCGAACCGGGGCCCTGCAGCTCAGAGCTGATGTCCCAAGCCAACTCTTAACCAACGTGCCACTCAACCGGCCCAGCAAGGCATTTCCATATGCATTTATTTTACTTAATCATAATCTGTAGCTGTTTTATCTTCATTTCACAACTGAAGAAACAGGCTAAAGTAGATTAAACAGTTTGCCCCAAATCACAAAACTGATAACTGGTAGAGTTGAGTTAGGAAGAATTTTGATGGACTTATTGGCATTCAAAAATGTATTTGTAATTTTCCTAGGTTGTTTTTAGAAGAGTTACTGATAATCATGAAAATACTTGTCAAAACCCTCCAAATAATATTACCACTTTGTCACATTTGGAAAAGTTTTGATTACATATTAATATAGAATGTTCATGAAATGTATTCCATATGTTTGGCTGTGGTGAAGGAGATCTCAATGTGGTACACAGATGGAGATGTTCATTAGATTGTTGAAAACGTGAGACTGGTGCTCAGGAGAGATACTGGAATAAAGTATAAAATTATATGAGAAAGTAGCTGAAATGTGGGATCACGAGATATAAAGTTGGAACCTCACACACCAAGGGGCCAAATTAACCCACACTCACTCATCAATTGGAATTCTGCTTTGTACATCCTTAATCTTGTTGGCTAGACTTCATGTTTTGAAAGCAAAGAAAATCTTTCATTTAAACACTAGAATGGTACTTGTTAATTGTTTCAATCTTTCTTAACTTATTACATGTTTTTGTGTGAAACAGACTCTTTGGCTGTTTGGCAGAGTGTTATATTTATTTAAATATTCTTTATGTCTTTGTATTGGATTTTAGCACGACCACATGATTTCTTCGATGCACAAACACTGGATGCGATACGACATCGAGCCATATGCTTTAACCTCTCAGCTCATATAGAAAGTTTAGGGAAGGGACACAGTGTTGTTTTTCATAGTACTGTAAGTATTTGATTTTTTTTCTTCAAATTATCTATAGGTTTGCAAGAACATGTATTTTGACTTTCACAATTATATTTCTAAATTGCTCAAAATCTAAGAAGATACACTTTAACGAAAATCACAGAATATTTTGGCTTTATTAGTATTTAAAAAATTTTGTGTGTTGTTGGTTATAAAGCAAATGTTTCCCACAAGTTGACATTTTTTTGTGATTAAAATGAATATTTTAGCCTTTAATTTGAGCTATTTAGGAATATTGGGTTGGCATTTGGGCTACTAGGCATTTCAAGATCAGGCTCTGACCTTAGTAAACTAGGTGTCTTTTCTGACTTCTGGTTTCCACGTTTGTAAAATTACAACTTTTAGAGTCCTTTTGGCTCATATCCCTATGTGCTGCATGTTACTCACCCCCAAAACGCACATCAAAAGTTTGAGTTCAACAGAAAATAAGATAATGGCCATTAATTAAAGGTTCATGAAGGAGGAACTTTTTATCTGTTTTGTTCCACTAATGTATTCCAAGTGTCTAGAATTGTCCTGACACATAGTAGGCACTCAGTCAGTATATTTGTTGAATGATTATGTTCCTCAGCATTGAAAAAGAAAAGTATCAGATTTGAAAAAGCAGTACATAGTTTATTTTTAGTTAACTAGTGGTATGGACTAAGGTCCGGCTGCCTGCCGCTTGAAAAAGTAAAAAATCAAGAGAACGAGGTTGGTGGAAAGAAAAGTAGGTTTATTCAGAATGTCGGCGTTCTGGGAAGATGGCAGACTCCTGCCTAAAGACCATTTTCTAGTTCCTAGAACAGTCAGAGGTTTTATAAGTACTCAAAAAGAAGAACCAAGGAAACGGGAGTCGGTCAGGCAGGGCCGAGGGCTGACATGCTTCCTGGGATCTGGTCTGTTTTAAGATAATGCTATCACCAGACAGGGCCACCGCGGCCTGGGGCTTTATGCGTCACCAGTAAAATCTGCAAGGGAGTTGCAAAATGGATCCCGGTGCCCTCTGGGGCCTGAGGATTAAGAAATTGCTCTTTATAGGTTAGGATTCTGTTGATTAAATGGATTAACAAGGTATGTGTAGCCTTAAGAAATGGAACAAGAGTTCTTAAATCAGAACAAAACAAGAGTTCTTAAATCAGTCAGTAAGGGGAGAAACAGAAAACAGCTGAGTATCAGGGTAGATCTAACTGTAAACCAGCTAAGTCTAACTACGTTATTGAGTCCCCGAGGTTTACCCTTAACACTAGGAGTTAATAGAGAGTTCTTCTTTTCATGCCCCTTGCCTTTTGTATTATCCAGTCATCTTTAAATTGGTGTAGTTTCTGGAAGATAAGTTTGTACAGGTAAAACTTAGACCAGACTCTTGGTTATTTGAATCCTTGGAAAATGAGATTGTTTAATTTTGGCTGCTAAAATATAAAATATACTAAATTAAGGTTTTATTTTTTATATTTCAATTAAAATGCTCAATAATATAAATGCAAAAAGTCAATATTGATAATCAGTCTATTAGTTTAAATCTGTGTTTTTTCTATCTCCTGTGGTAATGAGGCTTTCTTGCATTTTTAGTTTTTCTTGTATGTACACTTCCAATTCAGAATTCCTGAATTTGATTCCCCAAATTAAAGGCAAGAAGGTAAAAAATAAGACACAAAGAAAAGGGAACCTTTTCTGAGATTGGAACACATGAGAGGTATGAGTTTGGTTTTGAGGAAAGGTGTACTATACTTATGCTTTTGTAAAGAACATTGGAAATACAATTATCTAAAAAAGCGAAGGGTTGGAAAGAAAATCAGAGGGTTTGAAGACACAGTTAAAATGGTGCACTAGGAATTTTGTTGGGATTCAGCAAGATCAGGAGCTTTCTCAGCAGTGATGTTTGGAAATCTTTCGTTGAAGTTTGATAACATAGGGTTATGATTTGGTGGGTCTGTAATTCTTTTTTCCCAGAGGTCAGTAAGATGTCACCAGATCCTGAGTGCATGGCATTATGGCTAATTTGTTTATTAACTTAAATATTGAGCACCTACTTTGTGCCAAGTACTCATGATGCCGCAGTGAACAAAACATGTTAAAAAAAAACTCCCAAAACCATGTCGACACTCTAGTTGAAGAGACATGACAAATAAGATAAATTACTAAAATTGTAGAACTTAAAGGAAATGAGTGTATGAGCCATTGAGTTATTGGGGGCTGAGCATCTCAGCCAGAGGGAGAATCAAGTACAAACTCCTGAAATGGGAATGTGCCAAGTACAGTAATATCTAGGTTTGCAAGCATAATTCGTGCCAGAAATAAACTACTGGTATTTCAAGACATTGCTCATTTACCATGTTAAAATGTATTATTAGGTTGGTGCAAGAGTAATACTTATGGCATAAGAGTAAATTGTAGAAATGTTTGCTCCTGTTGCAGAACACTCGCAAACCAAGTTACTCGCAATCCAAGGTTTTTACTGTATTTTGCAAATCAACGAGGAGGCCAGTAGCTGCAGGAAATGAGTGAAGCAGAGAGTAGAAGTTATTAGGGAGAACCTTAATTGGACTAGGAACTTGACTTTTATTGTGTGTGTGTGTGATAGGAAGCCTTTGAAGGAGTTTGATAGCCATGGTTTGATGTGGTATAATAAATATAAACTGCGCCCATGTAAAGTATACAATTCTATGAGATTTGATAATTTTGCACACCTATGAAACCACCATTACCAAGTAAAATACAAAACATTCCCATTGCTCCAAACTTGACTGGCAGAGCTTTGTAGTTCTCTGCCTCTACCCCACGCCCTAGAGAACTCACTGATCTCTGTCCTCTCATGTAAATTGTAATGTGTTCACTTTGGCTTCTGTGTTGTGAGAACAGATTGTAGGTCAGGGTGCGGGGAAAAGGGGAGCAGTTTTCTCAGTAGCCCAGGGGAGAAAAGACTGGAATGGCTGTAGTGCAGATGCCAAAGAGGTTAGAGCCTGGATGTCTTTTGATAGTAGTACTGGGTGGATCAGATATCGGATTTGATAACTGGAGGAAAGGATGACTAGTGTTTTTGGCCTGGGCAACTGGCTGTGAGGATGGAGTTGCCATTTAAAATACAGACTGTGGTGGTGAGGAGATTGGGGGCGGGGAGGGGAGTATAGCTGTAATTTTGACACATTCTGTAGAGCCATCTAGTGCCTCTGTCACATAGGCAGATGGATGTAAGAGTTTGAGCTTAGAGGAGAGGTGTGGCTACAGATTCAACTATGGAAGTTTTCAGCATATTCGTGGTATTTAAAGGTATCAGACTGGATAAGATCACCTAGAAACTAAGTATAAATAGAAAAGAAGAAATTTTAAGGACTGAGATTTGAGAATCATCAACATCAAATGATTTCAAAGACAATAAATCTGATGAAATAGTGGTAGCAATGATAAGATGATACTTAAAAAAATAATGAACTTTCACTAGACCACTGCTTGTGATGAAACCCTTAGGTTCACCATGAGAGGAGTGGAGATGGTAAAAAAAAAAAATAATAATAATGAAGGAACTAAAAGTAGTGGTGATGTTATTAGGAGCCTGGAAGAAAATTTAAAAATTAACTGAGAGTCAAAATAGTCTATGACGATGAATATAAGTTTTCCAGCTGTAGAAAACATCTGAGAGGATTTAAGAACATGAAACCTGTATTTGTCATAAGTTAAAAAACTGAAGAATAAGAATGATTTGTACTCCCAAGCAACACTGGGGAGGGAGAGAGAGGTACCTTGACTGAGGAAAAGTCACAAAGGTGGAATGTAATCTGAAGAACGCTTTTTCCTGTGGGAAGTGGAAGGAAGAGACATCCATAATGGGGAAAGGTCTTTGTTGGACACAATAGAAAGGAAAGTAGCTAGGTGAGCAAGTTCTCCAGAGTTCTGACTTGGTTTTGATGGAAGCAGTATGTGTCAGTAGTCAAAATGTTCAGTACTAACTACAAGTTTAAGTTTCCTAGTTATCAAATTAACTTTCATAGGAAATAACTATACTGATAATGAAACAATTTGCAGAAAAATACATATGTGCGTTTACTATGCTGTGCAGTTAGCCTAATTTGTCTTAACTTCTGTACTTGAAACATTTTCTTTCGAGCCTTCTCCAGAAGAGGTCAGCAGATTCCCAGTTACCAGTCAATTGGCTTGCTGTGCTTGGTTGGTTTACATTGTTTTCGTATCTTATTTCTTCTTAGAATTATTTTAGCATCCTCAGATATGTCTTTGGGCTATTTAATTAAACTCATTTCCAAGTCTAGAATTAGGGTACTTAACTATAGGTTTTTAAATAAAGGGTACAGAAAGTATTTTATATTTTGTAAAGTGCTATTATTACTTGATTCTGATATGTTTTGAGGATGACAACATTTCGTGTGGCTGTTTGGAACCTAAACTTGGTAAAAATATTGAGATTTAGATTATTAAAACACTAAAGTGCTAATTTTGTTAATATGGAAGTTGTATGACTTTTGAATTTTTATTTTAAACATTACCTTAATTTTCAAAATCTGGTAATGAATGTTAAGTTATGTTGTTTCTCTTAAATTGTGTAGGTCTTTTTGTTTAGGTTGATTCACCTTTAACTTAGGTGAAGTCTTTGAAATTGAACCTAAACACTGATTGGCTAATATTTCATTTAAAATAAATCAAACCAACCAACAAGCAGAAAACCCCAAGCAAATAAAAATACTTTAATTATAAGTTAGAGACTTTTCTCTTCCCAGCAGTATTTTTTCTTTACTGTTTATTTGCTCTTTAAAAATATTCCAGCCAATATGGATTCTTGGTTAGCATTCTAGCTAAGCTACAGACTTTAGTAGATAGTAAAATAAATAGCATTTCCAGTTCCTTAATAAAGATATTATGGTTTTATATTTGGCTATAAAAACCTTCAGTTTTGTTTTTTCTCTTTCTTTTGTGAAAATATATGATCAAAGGTGAAATTGCTACAAAGCAGGGCAGAAAAAAGATGTGGTGATGGTAATATCTGGTCCAGGATATGAACACTTCAAAGTTCTTGATTAGAATCAAAAGTGTTTTTTAATGATATATTAGAATAATGTGTTACAAATCATTTTTATGATGTCTTTCATATTACTAGGTAATAGCTAAGAGAAAAGAGGATTCTGGAAAAATAAAACTTTTGCTTCATTGGATGCCTGAAGACATGTAAGTATTTGGCATAATATGTCTAATGAATAGACTAATGTCTTACTATTATTAAAATCTTATACTCAAAAATTAGTTATTAGATTCAAATATAAAAGACTTAACAGAAATTAAACCATGAAACATTTTGAGGTTGTCATGATTAAAGAGGTAATCTCTGAAAGCTCGTACAGTTCCTGGCTCAGGGTATGAGCTTTAAAACTAGCTCTTTATTGTTTTTAATAGACGTTGTTATAGCAGTTTTTAATAGGATGTAATTATTTTTAGAATTTTTTAATGACCTTCAAGTAGTATACAAGCAGCCTTAGTTGTACATTTGTTTGAATCATTTATTTTAAAAATTCCTAAACATCTTCCAGGACGCCATGATATTTTATAGAAAAAGCAGTTGACCAGTTTTCCGGCAGCATTATATTTTTCTTTCGATTATTAGTACCCTTTTTAGAGTACTTCTGGCCCAGAGGCTCGTTAATTTAGATATCAATTTTAAATTTTTTTTATTCTTCTATTAAAATGTTTTCTTGATACAAAAGTAATAAAGATATATCATAGATATTGTGGATAAAAAAGCTCTCAAATAGATTTGGGAGTTTACAGTGCTTATGAGCATATTGAAATAAAGAAATCTAGTTTTTGAAAATCTTCTGACTTACCAAATTTCCATTAGTGTAGAACACGTTTTCCACCGCTTTCCCCCTTTCCCCTTCCAGGTGTTATGGAAGTGTTTCTGTAAAATATTTTGAAATGTCCATGTACAATTTATTTAATGAGATTTTTTTTGCTGAACATTAAAGTTAACCCTTTTTTCTCTACTGTTAGATATTAAAATCTGTTAATATACAAACTATGCAAAATATGGTTTTTTTGATAGGCATTGTCCTCCTGAACATTTGTACCAATTTGTAATCGCATCTTTTACAGGAGAGAGCTTATTTCTCTGACTTATCAACACTGGCTATTACCATTCTTATATTTTGCATTTCTTTGCTTATACATAAGATCATTTTTAAACTTCATATCTTTGGTGAATTGATGGTTTGTGTCCTTTGTCAACCGCATCCCTTTACCCTAATGAGTGTTCACCTGTTTCATATTAATTTGTAAGAGCTATTGTTACATTGAGGTTATAAACATAATTTCTTTAAAAAATGTATTCAAATGCCTGTGTATACTTAGTATTTTGGAAATTGATCAATCCAAATAGTACAATGTTTTTATTTGAATTTCCTCGTAGGATAAATTTCTTTGGTTTTAGGATTTTGGTTATATGTGAAATTTTTTTTTTTTTAAGTGGAACTTGGTTAGGTTTTCACTTATTTCTTCAAAACTTGGTGACAGATTTCCATCAAGTCAGGCTCAAGTGTGAATTTCACTCAGCAAGCTAAAAGACAGGCACAGTGTTCTAATATGTTTTTCTAAATTTGATATGACTCTGCCACCACAAGTTCCTAATGCACCTCCAGATTCGTAGGTGAAATTTCGCCTACCATTTTTAGCTGGGACTCCACATTCCACTCCTTGGGGTGCTGGGTTCCCTTGGCTCCTGAGAAGCTTGTTACCCTAGGTGGCCCTATCAAACTAGCGGAAAAGGCTGAGTATGGTATGTGAGAAGTAAATTTAAAATTAATGCTATTTTATTTATGACTTATTTTTTAATTTGTAGTCTGCCTGATGTGTGGGTGAATGAAAGTGAACGACACCAGTTAAAAACTAAAGTAGTTCATTTATCAAAGCTACCCAAAGATACTGCCTTGCTTTTGGACCCAAACATATACAGGTAATTTAATTTTTGGTTTGATGCTTTACTTCCTGAATTGTAATTTTAAATCTTCCTAGGTTTTGGATATAAGGTTAGGACTTATTTTTAAGTATTGAATTCAGTACTTGAGCATATCTTGCTTTCTGGAGCTTTGTATATGGCAGTTACATCTCAAAGATTTATAAATTACAGAATCCAGAAAGATTGCATTTTGGTCAAGTTTATGTGCCATTTTAATTCCAGATTTATCTTAGGTAGCTTAATTGTAATACATATATATATATATATATATATATATATATATATATAGCTATTTGAAAATAAGTGCCTTTTGTTTAAGTATGTAATTCTTTTTATAATATCAGACTTTTGTGGGCCTGGTAGGAATGTATTGCATGTGCCCTAAATATCATAAATGATTGAGTTTTTAAAACTTAGATTCTTCCCCAAATATTTGCAAAAGAGCAGTTTCTTTGTTATTGTGTTTGTTTTTAAGAGGTAGCTCAGAGTGTTCACATTTCTAATAACTTTCTGATCTGACCTTTGTTTTAGTGTGCTGTGCTTATGAAGGTATAGGGGGGGAAGGAGAAGAGACCAACATTTCTGACTATGTGCTGAGTCACTTTGCTAGGTGCTTTACATATACTTCATCCTCACAGCAGCCCTGTGAAGTAGGTGTTACTATCTCTGTTTTACAGATTGGAAAACTGAGACGAGAGGTTAAATAGCTTGCCCAAGGTTACACAGATAGTATGTGACTGAACTTGATACTGCCTCTATCCAAATGGGTGATTTAAAAAGTGGTTAAACGCTTAAAAGGCACTATTATGAACAAACTTTCTATATTTCTAAAAGAAAGTTTAATATGTATTTTACAATAGGGATAGGTTGGATAAGCATAAGATGACATACAATAATTGATAATCCCAAATGTGAGTTTTAGCTATCATAAAGAGACTATGTCCTATGCCAAATTTTGAAGCAGTTAAAGAAGTTTCTGTTCACTCTAGGACTCTACTTTTTGGAATGTTGACTGTAATAGGAATTCTATAATTTGAGACATCTTCTGAGAATGAAATTCTAACATAATGGGCCTTGCCATGTGGAAACACTGAGACTCTCGAGACTTCCCTATTCCAAAAAATTTTTTTTTCTTAAATATATCTTTTGGTGCAAGTGCTAAGCACAATAGAGCCTTCTTTTTTGTAGTATGAGCTAGGTTATCGAGAAATTAACTAGCAAAGAAAACAATGAAATATGACCTTAAAGGAGAAGGTGGAGGGAAATCCACTACCAAAATTATGGAAAAGTCACTATTTAAAAAAATAATTGAATATTCTTTACTTACTGGTACCTAACTTAGGGTTTATTTCTGCTTACTCTTTGAAAGGAGTAGTGAAAGTTAGCATTCTAAAAGAGTGATATTTTGGGGAGCGCTACCCTGCTTATTCCAGCTGGTTGTAAACAGCCCTGATTTAGGCAGAGTTGAAAAAGGGGCGTGATGAATCATATAAATTATAAGATCAAGACTAACTTCAGTGTTCCTGCCCTGAATTCTACTTCCCACTCTCTGAGGGTCTTTCTTTTTCACAGAACCAGCTTATTTTTTCTGTTCTTGTGCTGTATGTATATGAAGCAATTTAAATATTTTAGTGAAAGTGACTTAACAAAAATCATTCAAGCTTAGAACTAATGTCCAAAAGTGCATAGGAATTGCACTGCATGTTCTCAAAGTGTAATTTTACAGTATTTGTTGATTTCATTCTTGGGTAATAAAGATGTTCTTAAGACATAGATGCTTCTGTGGAGTTAATTTTCTTTAACTGTATCTATCCTTCCCCTCAATCTTGACATTTAACTTTGAGTCTAAACTTTCGTGTACTTCTATTCTAGAAATCAGAATGTAGTCTACCCTAAAGTGGTACAGAGTAATAGAACGGTCTACATTTGCTGTGATGTAACATCTTACCAATGTTTTGGATTTTCATTGGGAAAACTTGTGAAATAAAAGGGAAAAAACCAGTTCTAACTTATTTTAGGAGAAATAAGTTTGTGGTTTATGTACATCTCAAAATGAAAGCATGGCAAACCTTCCCCAAATACATTAACTTAAAAAGGAGACTGAAAAGAACATTTATTTGAGAGTTAAACATCAATTTTAAAGTATTAGTTAAAATGCATGTTTTAGATATGAGATTCTTTTTTAGACGTACATTAGTGAGCTACATAAAAAGAATTTATTAAAAAGCTGTATTTGTAACTAAATTTGCATCTGTTATGTGTAAATGTTTCAGAAATAAATTTTAATGATCAGTGATCATTATCACATTGCCTATATCTTATAAATATTTTTAATGTCTCTTTTGTAGTACTTAATGTGTTTGGGATTCATTTGATTAAAAGAATATTCATTTTTCTCTCTTTCTAGAACAATGCCGCAGAAGAGGTTGAAGAGGTAAAAAATAAATAAATACCTAAAAAGCAAACAAGCGGGGACACCTCCAGTCTTAGTCACTGACAATGGGTTTAGTAAAAGTTGCACATTAGAGTCAACCCCCTTCCTTCTTTTATAATCCAATATTTAGAATAATATTTATGATTAGTGTAAACATTCTGTGAATGAAGTAGGCTCTTCTGTGGAATATATTAATATATTACTGTATATCCACATTTTCATGGAATGGTACTGTGGGAGACTGAGCAAACACTCTTCTGGCAACGTAGTGGAACAGCTTCCTAAAGGCTTTGCATGCGTGCTGCTTTCAGCTCCTTTTTTCCCCCTTTAGTGATTACAGTAGTTTATATTGGAAAGAAAAACAATTACAACATGTGCCCTGACAAATACCAAAAGCACTGTGAGGATGTTTATCTTAACAGTGTCTGTTGATTTGAAGTCATATTAGGAAATATTTAGACAATGAAAATTATCAAGAGATAATTTTTACCTTTCAATTATGATAAATAGATGTGATTGGTTGCCATTTGTGTTCTTTTGCAGAACTCTGATAAGAAAAGTGTTCAATTTGTATTTAAGCAAACAGTGAACGACATTTGCAATCAACTAAAAATTCGTCTTTCGAATTAGGGCTGAAAATTTCTGTTAAAGAGTGTTGCCGTATGTCTGGTGGCTCCCTTTTCAGGACTAGGGTTTTCTCATGGAGTACAGTATGTTAATATTTACTTATATAACTAATCTGTTAACGGTTTTTGAAAAACCTCTATTTCAAATATTTGAATAATAGTATTTTCATTTTAACCTACATAGGCTTCTAATTTTTTTTCTGAGGAAAGCATTTGGTTTTTTGGTTTTTTTCTTAACGCAAGAAAAATTGTATTTTGTTTTTAAAGTTTATCTTCAAACTGAATCCTTTATGCACCAAAGTTGGTTTTGAAAAGGAAAACAAAATCACTTTCTTGCTTGGTTAAGCAAGAAGCCATATGGATTTTTTTTTAACTTACAGAAATGGAACTATGTGTAACTTGTTAGTATTGTATCAAACAAATGTTGCATAGAGATAATAGAACATTGCTTGTAAATAATTCAGCAGATTTGTAATATATTTTTATATTATGAAATGTACTGTAGATGTTTTTCTAGAGGCATGAAAGTTAAATGTATATATTATGGGTAGAAATAATATTGAAGGATATTGTAATTCACTAGTGCTGCCAGAGGAATTGTTAATAAAGCACCTTCTTTAACAATAAATGTCTTTTGCAGACTTAAGGGACTATGTACTACTGTATATCTTTAAAGAACAAAACACATTGAACATCCTTCCAGAAAGTCTTTGAGGGAGGACCTTATACCCATAATAGTGTTATGGCACTCATTTCTGACAGTGACTGTGAAATCAATTATTTCCTTACTGTTGGAAGGACGTATTGTAAAGTATGTGGTTATATGCAGTCAAACTGCAGAAAATACTCCTGATTGAGGAGTTTTCACTTTACTACAGTGATATAAAAACCAGCAATTTTTACACTAAATTTTTTAAAGAATAGACAAAAATATAGAACTAAGCCTTTGGTTTCAAAATGGGAAAGGTTCCATGCTACTTAAATCATTTCTCATTTACTTTAAAAAAATTTTAAAAATAATAAAAATTATGGGAAACTTTATTCGTTATCAGTGGGGTAAAGAGCTATATACATGAAATGAGTCATATAAAATTAATTGAAGTGCAAATAAAAGCACTGCTACTGTAAGACATTCTGGAATGGTTGTTTAATAAGGGTATTATCCATATGATCTGTAGCAAATGTGATTTTATTTTTTAAATGAAAAAAGTGTGTTTTCTTACCTTTTTTGTTTTTTGCTTAAGCACTTCATCAATTGCTTTATTCTGTATCTACGAAGTAATCTGCAATCTTCTTTGTTCTTTTTAAATTTTGATTTGTTATAAAATTGCCAAATAGAAGTGTTTCAGATATATAGTTTGTACCTGTATTTTTTATTTTATTGCCTCATGTTCTTGTAAGTCATTCTTAATTGACCAATGATTGTAGACCTTGCCTAAATATTTTTTCTAATAAAACAAAAGCAAATCACATTTAGCTTCAAAATTGTAACAATTCAATTAAATTTTAAAATGACATCTGAAATAAACATCTAATATTTTCTTTAGGGGCATAGCAAATTAATTAGTTTTTTCATTGTGTAGAAATATTTAGACGTCAAAACCAAATTTCGTGGTTCTTGATTAGCCTCTGAGTACTCACAGTCACTCATGATACTTTGCTGCTTATCTGACTATGGTCCGATACTGTTAATAGGCCAAAAAGAATATAGAATTAAAGTGAAAGAGTTTTATAACTTGTATGTGATGTATACATATAAAAACATGCAGTTATGGTTGACAAATAAGTGTGAACATTTTAATTTATAATGTCTATTAAGTGATGTCTACTCATCTATATTGTTCCTCTTCACTCCCATATATGACATTTGTAATATGGCACCTGAAATATAATTAGTCTGTTACTCAAAACCTATTGTCTAGTTCAGCAGCGGTCTAACTGCAGCTCACAGGCATACCCATTCATTTATGTGTTGTCTGTGACTGCTTTCTCCCTGTAATAGCAGAGTAGCAGAGTAGTGAGACTTTTTGGCCTGAAACCTAAAATATTTACCCTCTGACCTATTAAGGATAAATTTGCCAAACCCTGGTACAGTTGATAACATTTTTGTAAAAATAAACTAGACCACACAACTTACATGTTAGTATGAGAGTGTTAATCTTGGTAATAAGCCAGTACATTAAATTTCAGTGAAAGCTGTTTAATATACTTTAAATATTGCCGTATTAGGTTCCTACAACAAATGGTGGGTTTTTGGTTTTTTTTTTTACTTTTATATTGGATTTCTTAGTAGTTAATATTTCTCCATTTGTGTTTTTGTATTTTGTTTCACTAAATAGGACTAAATAAGATTTTGTAAATCAGATTATGTTTAAACCACAAGCCTCATCTTGCTCTATCTAAAAGAATCTTGGAAGTGGAAAATATTGTAAAAATTTATTTAAAGTTGTTTATTTTTTTAATAAACTTACTTTTTTCATATATAAATCTTCCCTAAGGTGGACACACATTACTTCTGAATTTCAGATGAAAGGAAATTAAGATGGAGAGTAATTAACTCTCACTGCGTATTTTACAATTTGTTTTATTCTCATTGAAAGCAATGATAATCATGTTGGTAAACCTTTGACTGTAAAACTTCTTTTCCTTTCACACTTTAATAAAATGTTTTAAATATTTAAGTACTCTTAAAAGTATAGCATTTGCAACAGTTATTTAAGTTGTTTATTGTTTGCTATTTGAATTCTTTTTTAATATATGGTTAACAAGTTAGCTATTTGAATAAAATATAAAAATAGGAAAATATGGTTGAAGTCTTTAAAACAGTTTGTGGGGGGGCTTTCAACAGTCAACAGCTGTTTTTTTTTAAGTGTTTAATACTTTTGCAAAGTTTTCTAAAAGGCAAACATTCTTAGTTTTAGGTATGTGAAAAACTGATATTTTTATCTATGTAACAAAGCCTAGGGTTGTAGACCTACAAAGAGATGCTAATATATATAGTCTTTTAGAAGGGAAATTAAATCATGTCATTTGAAATTTTTTTTGTTTTTTTGTTTTTTTTTTGGTTTTTTTAGACAAGTACATTTTGGGGGATTTCAATAAAAATATTTTTCTATTCTAAAACATGTAGAAAATAATTTCTTAAAAGAATAAAAATTTTTTACATATATCTGTAAGAAATTTTTTTTTTTTAAAGATTTTATTGGGGAAGTAGGGGAGGGGAACAATGTTGGGGAATTGGGGAAGGGGACCAGCCAAGTTGTTCTTCAATCTTCGTTGTGGAGGGTGCCAGTCGCCATCTGGCTTCCCATTGGCAGCTTGTGGCCTGTAAGCTCAAGGTGCTGTGTTCATTCGTAGCTGTGGGTGGGCATAGCCACCATCCCATGTGGAATTCGAGCTAGCAGCCTTGTTAAGAGCGCACGCTCTATCCACTGAGTCATCCGGGCAGCAGCTCAGCTCAAGGTGCCGAGTTCAGTCTTAGTTGCGAGTGGGCATAGCCACCAACCCATGCGGGAGTCGAACCCGGCAGCCTTGTTAAGAGTGCACACACTATCTATCCACTGAGTCATCAGGGCAGCAGCTCAGCTCAAGGTGCCAAGTTCAGCCTTGTTTGCGGGTGGGCATAGCCCACCATCAAACAGGCAATCTTGTTATACCATCTGAGCCATCCTGCCACCTGTTGGCATCTCAGCGACAGCTCAGCTCCGTCTAGCGTCACTGGCCCTGTTGCTCAGAGCTTGCACTCTTAAGCCAACTCTTAACCAACTGAGCCACTTGGCCGGCCCAAGAAATTTTATATGCATATATAGTTGAATTCTTAAAGAATCTGTGACTTGGTAGAAGATGTTTTGCAATTCCAACACTACAAGTTTAACCATAGATAAGGTCTGCAGAGTTATTTTTTTGTCATTTCTAATGGCCGTGAACCTCAGTAGCTTTTAAAATATAATGAAATGCTGTATTTTTAAGTTTTAAAAATTAAAAAAAAATGTTTACATAGTCCAATTTATTTCCTAAATCAGGTTTGCATGGTATATATAACACATGGTTCTATTATTCTGAAAATTAAAAAGGACTTACTTGTAAGTGGTTACAGCAGGAATTGCAACCCATACTTTTTCCTAGGTCAGTATTCTATTACCAAGCTTAACAGTGTGAAAGAGGAAATCAATGTACATTGTAACACTGTAAAAGTTTTTTAGTGTTTTCTGTCATTGCCTCTCCCTAGCATGATACATGGCAGAAATTACTTGCTAAAATATTTGTTGAATGAGTATTATAGTTGAGTACTTGTTATAATAAGATACTTTGGAGAGTTATGGCCATATAAAACACTAGTAGGGTTGAAGCAATCAGGCTTAAAACCACTTCGTAATATTATGTAACTTTTCGTATGAACCTATGTTTAAGTTTGTTTAAACAGTCTCAGTGTAAAGGATGATTGATGTTATATTTTTATGTACTTTTAATGTAACCATTTTTGGTTTAATTTTGTTAAAAATATTCTTAGTCTTGTTTTCAGATGAGCACCACTTTAAAAAAATAATTCCTCAGTTACGTTTATGATATGAGTAGCATATTTTTAAGTAGTAACACTATTTTGAAGGTATTACCCAGTATTTGATTATTTAAATGTTTTGTCTTTGTACCAGAGCATTGTTACCCCAAGCACCTTTTTCCCTCTTCAAATATTTATATGCTTCTGGTAAAGAAAAAACTACAAATCTTACAAATTTATCATGAAATTATCAAGGATTTGTATGTTCCTATTAAAATTATTTCAGAAATTCATCTATATTTGGATGCGTAATAGGTCTTGCATAAGATTATTACATGCTTTGGGGCTTTTTCCTTTTAGAAAAGTAGAAAGTTTTGGGGGGAGAGTGTGTAGCTAGGGAATCATATTAATAATAGATTTTAAAATGTAAGCATTTCCTCTTAATAGCTGAGCCTAGTGCAAGTAGTTTAGTATAAACATCACTGAGTATTGCAGAAGAGTGGATTAGAAGATTCCCAGCTTACGTCTTTTTGAATTTCACAAATTAAGGGAGCCTAATAGGTTATTTTCTTAATACTAACATATCCTTTTCTTCTAGATTTTTATTAAACTAAAGCTAACATTACAATATTAGTTTCAGGTATGCACCATAGTTACTCAACATTTATTTATATACCTAAAGAAGTGATCATCATTAAGTTCAGCAATCATCTGATACTATACTATGCTATCAAAATATTATTGACTATATTCCCTGTGCTGTAAGTTACATCCCAGTGACTTATTTGTTTTATACCTGGAAATTTAAACCTCTTATTCCCTTTCACCTTCCCCCCTTTTTAATTTTTAAATAACAGTTAACATTCAGTATCATTTTATATTAATTTCATATGTACAGAATAGTAGTTAGATATTTATATAATTTAAGAATTGATGCCCCTGACTAGTACCCACCTGGCACTATACAGTTATTACCATGTTATTAACTGTATTCCCTATGCTTTGCTTTACATCACCGTGACTGTTTTGTAATTACCAATTTGTATGAATGCCTTCCACCTTTTTCATCCTGTCTTCCAACCCCCCTCCCATCTATCACCCCAATAAATCTAGTACCCATCTGACACCATACATAATTATTACAATATTATTGACTATATTCCTTATACTATACCATACATCCCTATGACTGCTTTGTAACAACCAATTTGTACTGCTTAATTCCTTCCCCTTTTTTACCCACACCCCCAACCCGCCTCCCATCTGGCAACCATTAACATGTTCCCTGTATCTATGAGTTTGTTTCTGTTTTATTTGTTCTTTAGATTCCACATGAAAGTGAAATCACATTGCACCTGTCTTTCACTGTCTGACATACTCCACTTAGCACAATATCCTTCAGGTCCATCCATGCTACTGCAGATGGCAAGGACCCATTCCATGCTGAGCAATATTCCATTGTGTGTGTGTGTGTGTGTGTGTGTGTGTGTGTATGTTTGGGATTGTTGCATTCTTATTAAAAAAAGTAATGTATTTTAATTTATAGCTGTGCTTGGAAGAGGATAGCAATCATTAAAAGTTTATTTTCTAGTGATCTCTTCTGAAACTGGGCCCTCTAATGTATTCTTCATCCAGTTATTCTAGTCTTTATTTCTGACTGGTTCTTTTTTATGTTTTCTATCTCCATTTTTGTTTCCTGTCTCTGTTGAAGTTCTCCCTGAGATCATTGAACATCCTTAAAATCAGTGTTTGGAACTCTGCGTCTGGAAGTTGTTTGTTTCCATTTTGGTTTTTTTCTGGAGCTTTGTTCTGTTCTTTTATTTGGGACGTTTCTTTGTTTCCCATTTTGGCTGCCTCTCTGTGTTTGTTTCTATGTAGGGCTGCTATGTCTGCTGGACTTAGTAGAGTGGTCTTATGTAACGTGTTCTGTGGGAACCAGTGGTACAGTCCTCCCCCTGGTCACCAGAGCCAGGTGCTCCAGATGTGTCCCTTGTGGGTTGTGGGTGGCCGCCTGTTGTAGTTGAGACTTGATTGACCCTCCCACTGATTGGTTTTCATGATTGGTTGTGACTACAGTGGTGTAGCTGTTGTGCAGGGGCTGACCCTACAAAACAGGGTTCTCTCTAGCGGGGCTCTGATGCCTGCCCTATCTGCCGTTTAGGTGTATCATCCTTGGAGGTGGCAGGTCCTGCTCCAGCCCAACCTGAAGCTAGCCCTGGGGCCTCTTGGGAGGGGACCTGCTGCTGGCCAAGTTCAGTCACAGTCTGTGCCCTGCCTAGGGCTACCTATCATCAGTCACAAAGCAATCCAGAGATAGATGCTGTTCGCTTTGTGCTTGGAATTGCCTTGAGAGGCCAAGCCATGAACTAAGGCCTGCTGTTGCTAATGCCCAGCTTAGGGCTCCTCAGCCAACGGGACATGCCAAAGCAAGTTGCTGATTGTTTAGGGTTTGTGAACCTTGGAGAGATTTTAGGAAAGCCCATAGCATGAGCCAAGGCAGGCCATTTATACGGAAAAGCCACTGGAAGCAGCTTGAGTGTGGCCAAAAGTTGGGTGGGTCATGGTCTTAAGGAATCACTAGGGTGGGGCAGACGAAAGGTGATAGCTAGTTGGATGGAGACTCATGACATCTGCTTGTATCTGCATGCACGGAGGGCTACGGCTTGTCAAAGAAACATGGCTTCTGCCAGCTCCTCTCTCCTGTGGAAGCTGCCCCTCCTGCCCTCACCCGGAGGCTAGACAATTCATTTCCTCCCCGTTTGCCCCTGGCACCTGTTTAGCTGTTGCCCCAGCGCCGGGGCTCAGAGAGACTTCATCAGTAAGTCCATGTTTGGTCCTTTTAAGAATTGCGCCTGGGAGTGCAGCCACCCTCCGTCTCACTCAGGCACAATCTCTGCTGGTTTTCACAACTAGAAAGCATGGGGACCTCTCCCTGGCGCTGAAACCCTGGACTAGGGAGAGGCTGGGGCCGCTCCCTCCTCGGGGAGACTGCTGTGGCTGAGATGATCCCTCGCGATTTTTAATAGTCACGCGGGTGTGGGACTAGCCTTTCTGTTTCTGCCCCTCCTATCAGTCTTGAGGTGCCTTCTGTATGTCCCTAGTTGTAGGGCTTTGGTTCAGCTAGACTTGAGCCTATTCTCAGTGGTGATTGTTCTGTAGTTTAGTTGTAATTGATGTGGTCCTGAGA